AAGCATTATTATAAAACACTGGGGATACAAGCCTGAAGACAGCCCTTATGCTAAAGGGGCTTATTTAGAGGGAGAACACATGAGGGCATTAAAGTTTCATGGGTACAATAACAGATGACTGTACAGGGCACTGTGGCATTAGAAAGGAAAAAGTTTATGTATTGGGGAGAGAGGCAACCAAGAAAGCCTTCACAGAAGAACTGATTAATCATTTAACAGTGTGAGTTTTAAAAGATGAACAGGTATTTTGCCTACTAGATGGAGACAGGGGAGGGCATTAGCAAAGGCAAGAGGAATATGTTTAGGACTGTAAGCAGTTTCATAAGGCTAAAATTCAGGTATATTACTTAATATTGTACCTTTTCCTTTCAACGAGGGTTGATAAAAACAATAGCAACATGGATATTTTTAATCCTCTATAAAATGACTCTCAAAGAGTCTCACATCTCTCTCTCCTTTTCATAAAGATCTACATGACAAATTTTTTATAAACTTTGTATCTCCTGAAGACCTCACATACTTCCTCTTTCGGGTAGTAAGAACTAGGGCCTATGATTTCCTCCTAATTTTCATTAGGTTCACAGCTAAATGGTGTGACTTAATTCCCAATAAATCAGAACTATGAGTTAAACCTTCCTTGTACATGTTTCTGATTCTTTTTCTGACATTCACTTTAACTGTTCTATTCTACATGTTTTCTAGTTTCAAATCCTTTTAGGAAGTATTAAGAATTATTAATTATAAATCAATATCAGAATACCATCTCTGCTTTTGGTTACAGAATTTCAGATATAAGGTTATCTCTTTCTCAACACATACACAAAAAGAGAATTTCTTCTAATTTGCTAGGCTAATTTATGCAGAATTTCAATAGCAAGAAAAACAAATTTTCACATTTAGTTAATTTGTGTTTTTCCTGCTATTGAAATTCTACATAAATTAGCAGAAAAATAAAAATTTAACCTTATCCATGCTGAGTAAGGCCTGGTACTGAGGAATAACAACATTACATGGCTCAGTTAGTATTTGTAAAAGTATTTTCTCATCTAGGCTAGGCAAAGGAACTATCATGGGCAACCATACCATTAGCAGCATTATTTTATTTTCTTTACTACTACCGATCTGCTACTTTAACTAGTACATTCAAGGCTAAGACAACTTATAGCAAGCAATATAGCAAACAGCTGATTTATGACATACTCATTTAGGTAGAATGTTATATAATATAAAAGTGATCATCCGTGACTAGCTATTATGTAAAACACAAAAACATGGAAAATATAGGTGTTTTCTGAGTTTCTTACCACTATGTTGACATTATATTTTATTGTCATCAGTCAACAAATAGGTATGGGGCGTGTACCTTGAAGATTTGAAGAAACAAGTCCTAGCCCTAGTTAAAAGCAGGGCTTATAAGAATGCTTAAAAAACATATATAAAGCTAAGCGGGATCAAAACCCTTCCCTCTAAATCCCAAAATGCTTCCCTCCATTTGTGAGTGTTGGCAGTGATCTAGGTAAGACTCTATAAGCAGGGGCAATGGAGATAAGCTGCTTATTGGGCTCCAGTGA